AAAAAAAAAAAAAAAAAAAAAAAAAAAAAAAAACCCCAAAAAACAAAACAAGTAGAAAGGGAAGAATGTAAGTATTGAATGTATGCCACAGACTGAGGCTTAAGTGGCAAAGCTCCCTTCATCTGTGTTATAATGCCTGAAAGGATTCAGGGTCTTAGCCTTGCTGTTGAGGATATTTATGTTCTGAGTTGCTAACAGATATTGAGGCTTTCTTATCTCATAGACACTATGCTAAGTGCTTTATGCCTATTAATTTGCTTAAGCCCAGAAAGTAGGCATCATATTTAGTCCTTGCTTACTGAAGAGAAAGGTAAGGTAAAGAAAGGAAAGATAAGGAAAAGAGGCCGGGTGACACAGCTGGTAAGTAGTGGTGGAGCCAGGATTTGGATCCAGTTTCAAGTTGCACTAGATCCTGTGCTAAAACATTAAAAAAGACTGGCTGGTGAGGTGACACATGGCTGTAATCCCAGTACTCAGGAGACTGAGGATTGCTATAAGTTTGAGGCTAGGTAGTGAGCTGGACTACTTAGTGAGTTCAAGACCAATCTGGACTAGATAGTAAGACCCTGTCTCAAAAAACATATAGAAAAACAAGATACCAAGAGAGAAGTAAGACAACACATTCTAGCTTCTCTACCAGAATGAAAATGCTTTAAGGAAAGTTGTTTGGTTTTGTTCGTATCTGTACGTGGGTAGGATGTAATCTGTGTTCTGGTAAGTACATGAATAGTAAACAGGTGGGAGACATCACATTTCAAGTCCTATCTGCAGGACAGGATTTCTCTCTCTCTCTCTCTCTCTCTCTCTCTCTCTTTCTTTCTTTTGGCATTTTGGTAGTGTTCTGGACAACTCACTGAATTTGGAGAGGCAACTGTTCTTATGGGATTCCAAAAGTCTAGCTGTTTTTGTCATAAAAATGCAACTTGACCTAATCCTATTATTTGGCTCAACCCTTTGCCAGGCTAAGCAGGTATTGACGAATAAAACAGACATAGACTCTGTCCTCATAGGACTTATCGTCAGCAAATGAGACAGTTGATAACCACTCATATTTTTACTATGAGGGTCAGGGATATAACTCAGTGGCGCAGCGCCTACCTGGCAAGCACAAGGCCTTGAGTTCAATCCCCGGTACAAAACAGACAAACAAAAAACCCTATTTTTGCTATGTAAGATAATTGCTATGAGGTGTGGGAACATATAACCTAGGAAAGCATATAGCAGACTATAGGGGGTTTAGAGATAGGGAAGACTTCCTGAAAGAAATAACGACAATACCCATCAAGGGGATGGGTAGACTTAGGGGGCAAGGAGTGGGATACAGAAGGGCATATATGAGTGGGGGCAGGACATGAGATGAGATAGATTCCCTTCTCTTAAGAGTTGTATCCTGCTGGGGATTAAGCTTAATGGTGCAGGCATTAACCTGGCAAGCGCAAGGTTCTGCGTTCAATACCCAGTACCAAAAAAAAAAAAAAAAAAAAAAAAGAGTTGTATCCTGTAGAGACTCCTAGACCATCTTTATTTAAGAAACAATTGAAATCGTAAATCAGTCCAATTGATGTGACTGGATTTGTACCATGATTCCTTCTGGTATAACAAGGGGAACTAGTTAGGAGGCTGGTAGAATAAACCAGGGAGAAGTTGTGGGTGATGAGCACTGGGGTAGTGATAGTGGTGGAAGGGGCCAAAAAGATTAGCAGATAAAACAGGAGATTATGATTGTACTTGAGGAAAAGTAGGGGGTTAGGGATGATCTGGATTTTTGGCTTAAAAACCATGAGAAAGAAAGTTTGACAAGCAAGAGGGTGAGCTCCGTTTTGAACACTGTTTCATGCACTTTAGAAATATTATGGTAAAAGAAGGAGACCAAAGATACAATTATATACCCCTCAAATTATTATTAGAAGGGAAGGAGAGTTTTAGTGCTGTAGTTGTGTTTGTAGGGGGTTTTGCATATGTAGACATGAACATTTTAAAAAATAGTGGTTAAGTAATATAAAATTCATATTCTTAGCCATTTTTGAGTATACAGTTTAGTAGGGTTAAGGACATTCATGTTGTTGTGCAGCTTTAAAATTTTTTAAATCTTACAAGACAAATTGTATATCCATTAAATACTGTCTCCCCCAACCAGTAGCAACTAGCATTTTGTTTTCTGTCTCTATTAATTTCTCTACACTAGGTACCTAATATAAGTGGAATCATATAGCATTTGTGTTTTTGTGATTGGCTTTTTCAATTTGACAAAATGTCAAGGTTCACTCGTATGTAGCTTGGTATCATGGTTAGCTTTTTTCTTCCTTTTTTTTTTGTTTTTGTTTTTGTTGTTGTTGTTGTTGTGCTGCGAATCAAACTCAGGGCCTTGCACATGCTAGGCAAGTACTCTACCACTGAGCTACGTCTCTACATCCCCATCTCAACTTTGTTCCTTATGAAGGCCGAATACTATTCCACTATTTTCCTATACCACATTTTGCTTATCCATTCATCTCTCCACAGAGACTTGAGTTGCTATCCCCTTGGCTGTTGAGAATAATGCCATGAACCTGAGTGTACAGAAATCTCTTTAATAGCGATAGAGATGTAGCTCAGTGGAAGAGTGCTTGCCTGGGTGTGTAAGACCATGAGTTCAGTCCCCTAGCAACAACAAAAACAAACCCACAAATATGTCTTTACTTATTTGTTTTTGTTTTTTTGAGGCAAAGTCTCACTTTGTAGTTCAGGCTGGTCTTGATACTATATATCCCTGAACTCAGTGATCCTCCTGTCTCAGCCTCCTGAGTGCTACAATTACAGACATGAGCCACCATGCCCAGCATACAGACTCATACATAAATGCATTTGCCACTCTGCTTCTGCTGTCATTTAAGTACACTATACACAAGAGTGGAAGTGGAGGGTTGTATAATAGTTCTGTTTCAATTTTTGAAGGGGTATGTCTTAGTTCCTTTTGTCTCCTGGCAGAGACAAAATACTCAACACCCCAAGTTAAAGGGGGAAAGACTTATTTAGCTCAAAGTTTGTAGAGGCAGTCCATAATTGGCTGGCTCCAAGGCAGGGTGGCATGAGAGACAGGCATTGCAGAGGAGAAGCAGTCATGGGAGATAGAGATAGCAAAGCAAGCAAGAGACTTTAGCAGCTTCTTTTTGGTCCTTTTATTCTCTAGCCTATCAGTATTAGGGTGTTGTCAAACCAATCAGTAGACTG